TGCCCACCTCGGCCTCCCAAAGTGCTGGGATTACAGGCGTGAGCCACCCTGCCCAGCCCTATTTGCTCTCACTTTGAAATCACGACGTGAGCCACAGTGAGCCTATGATGTGGTTTGACATCTTTCTACATTTCTGTGTTCACCCCTCTCCTAGTCTCCCAGAAGGCATGCCTCCCTCCCTCCCCTCAGCCTGCAGCCCCTTCCCCTCCACGCTTACTCTCAGCCGATAGCCCTACTGCTGTCTCGCTGAGAAAATAGACTCGCTAAGAAAACAGAAACAGCCAGAGGAGAATTCGCTCCACCCCATGCACACACCTCTGTCCCTGCTTACTCCACATTCCCTGTTGTCAGCACCAATGTGTCTAGCTGAGGCTGGTCCCCCCATTCAAGGCCATCATCCCCTGTCATTTACTTCTTGACACCATTTGAACAATTATTTCCCCTCTTTCCTACATAAGACTTTCCCCTTTTCTACTATATATTTTCTGCTATGGATTGAACGTATCCCCCAAAATCATATGTTGAAGCCCCAATTCCTCGTGTGATGGTGTTAGGAGGTAGGGCACTATGGGGTGATTAGGTCATGAGGGTGGAGCCCTCGTGAATGGGATTAGTGCCCTTATAAGAAGAGGCATCAAAGAGATGATATGTCTCTGCCATGTGAGGGCAGAACAGGAAGGTAGCCGTCTGCAAACCAGGAAGTGAACCCTCACCAGGAACTCAATCAGCCAGCACCTTGATCGTAGGCTTCCTAGCCTCTAGAACTGTGAGAAATAAAGGTTGTTTAAGCCTCCCAGTCTCTAGTTTTCTGTTACAATGGCCTGACCTAAGTTATTTTCCATCACTATACAATGGGTTATTTTTTTGTTTGAAAAAAAATTCTTTCTTGACTCGACTTTTTCCTCCAGGCACTGCTTGTATTCAAGTGTCTTCATTTCTCTCCACCTATTTTCTCTCTTTAAACTTTGCAAAAATAGCAAAATATGACACATATAGAGAAAATGATATACAGCTCAGTGATTTATCACAAACATCTGTGTAACCACCACTTGAATCAAGAGATAGGACATTACAGCACCCCGGAAGCCCTCCTTTTGTCCCCTCTTCCCAAAGAAGGGTAACCAATATCTTGCCTTTTATGATAAAGGCTTTTTTATTTTTTTTTGAGGTGGAGTCTTGCTCTGTTGCCCAGGTTGGAGTACGGTGGCACAATCTCCGCTCACTGCAAGCTCCACCTCCCGGGTTCACGCCATTCTCCTGCCTCAGCCTCCTGAGTAGCTGGGACTACAGGCGCCGGCCACCACCCCCGGCTAATTTTTTGTATTTTAGTAGAGACGGGGTTTCAACACGTTAGCCAGGATAGTCTCGATCTCCTGACCTCGTGATCTGCCTGCCTCGGCCTCCCAAAGTGCTGGGATTACAGGTATGAGCCACCGCGCCCGGCCAAGATAAAGGTTTTTGTATCTGGCTTCTTTGTTCAGCATTTTGTTGGTGAGATTGATATGTTTTGTGTGCAGTTGTCATTTTCATTGCAGTAGAATTCCATTGTCTACTGTATCACAGTTTTAGTTACTCATTCTACTACTGATGAAAATTTGGGTTATTTCTTGTTTTTCTGGTGCATACGTGCATACATTTCTGGTAGACATATTACCTAAGAGTGAACCGGCTGCATTTTTGGCCGTAACTTGTCTTCAACATTAGTAAATAATACCACCCATCTGTTTTCCAAGCAGCAGTGAATGACACTTTCTGTTACTTCATATCTTCTGTTACTTGGTAGTGTTGGGTTTTTAAATTTTAGTCATTCTGTCTGGTGTCTAGTAGTATGTTATTGTGGTTTTATTTTGCATTTGCCTGATTGCAAATGAAGTTGAGTACTTTTTGATACATTGAATAACCATTTGGATATCCTCTTCAGTGAAGTATCAGCTGAATTCTCTTGACTATTTAAAAAATAAAGTTGTTTATCTTTTTCTTATAGAGTTTTAGGATTTTTTTTGGTACACGTGTAGTCTAAATATACACCCTTTGTCGGTGATACACGTTCAGCTGTACACACAGTGTTTTGCCTTTTTATTCTTTTAATGGTATCTATTGATAAACATGAGTTGTTAGTTTTAAAGAAGTCAGATTTGTTCATCTTCTTTACGGTGTGCTTTTTGTGTCTTGTTTAAGGAAGTCCTTCACTATCTTAAAGCTTTGAGAAACATTCCTTTCTCCTATTTTCTGAAAATTGTTGAAGATCTTTCTCTCTTTCTCTCTTCTTTCTCTTTTTCTCTCTCTCTCTCTTTCTTTCTCTCTCTCTTTCTTTCTTTCTTCTTTTTTTCTTTCTTGTCTCCCTCTCTCATCTAGGCCAGACTTCAGTGGCATGATCACGGCTCACTGCAACCTCAACTTCCCAGGCTCAAGTGATCCTCCAGCCTTAGCCTCTTAAGTAGCTGGGACTACAGGCACGCATCTCCATGCCAGGCTAATTTTTAAAATTTTTTGTAGAGACAGAGTCTCACCAAGTTACCCAGGCTGGTCTTGAACTCCTGGGCTCAAACAGTCCTCCCACCTCAGCCTCCCAAAGTGCTGGGATTACAGG